ATGATTTGATTATCCTCTTGTCAGTAAGATGTTGTCTCCAAATATGGTTAGCAACTGAAAACTGTGAGTCTATGCAACCTTTGCTAACTTATCCTATCCGGCAAAAAGCCCAAAATGACACATGACTCGTTTTAAGTTGAGTTTTTTTGTGACACTGGTACATCTTAATGAATCGGAGAATCATTGATAACATTATTAATTCACTAACTTAAATAAAAAGGGACACCACAATGCTTGTTAAATTTGCTATGCACAGAATTACCGAATATATTTCAAATATTTATTCCTGTTAATTTTGATCTGAATATTACATAGAACTGATGAAAAATGGACATTTAAGAACTAGAAAACAATCAGTGTCCAAGCATGGCTATTGAAAGTTGTGTGGAAGAACAAAATGTGGCAGCAAACAAGCCTTTAGCAGGTTGTGAAACAAAGTCCATTCATGAGTTTGGGAGATGTTTTCAAGATGTGTCAGATCTTCACTCTATTGAGGTTTTTATTCTTGATGTAATTGCTCCATCTTGCCACTTTCTCTCTGAGCCTGTTTATTGTCTGGATTACTTTGAATTAATGCCAATAGTGCCACAAAAATATTAACAAAATGCCACTTTTGAACCAGCGACCATGTTAGCAGCCTCTTAAACCAACTGAGGAGACATAAGGACTTGATTCTCTTTCAGAGGTTCTCTTTTCAGATGAAAATAAATGTATTTGATTTGAAAATCAAGGTCCAGCAGAGAGGAACAGAATCCACGTTGCTTGACGTCCAGTGTGAAGTTTCCACAGTCGGTTATGATGTGGAGAAACCACGCCATCTGCTGGCGGTCGTCCACCGGGTTTTTATCAAGTCCAAATTCAGCACAGGACATTTTAGAGCAGCTTCTCACAACTGAAACCTTGTTTGATGGCCATGATATCACTGAGCATGACTGACCTACCATGTCTCCTGACCTGAACCCCACAGAGAAACTAAGAGGAAGATGAGAGACACCAAACCCAACAATGCAGATGAGCTGATGACCAATATTAACTCTTCAGCAGAGCCACAGACTGACTGGCAGCATCACTCTGATGCAGCAATTCAGGCTAAAGGAGCCCAGATCAAGAATCTGGTGCTTATGCTGTAGGACGGGGGTGCCCAGACGTTTTACAAAACTGACAAATTTAATCTACTGGTGGGCCAAAAAATAGATTAAATAAAAAAAAAAATAGTCTGTGCTTTTTCTTTAATTTACTTGCTAAAATGTAATTTTTTTTAAATGAAATCTGTATATCATTAAATATCCAAAAAATAAATAGGACTTCAAAATGTTGCCTTATTGAAAAAAAAAAGAAAAGAAAACCAGACTATTTTTGGTCGTTAATTGTTTTCAATTTTTTTCCGCCAATTTTGTACCATTCTTTCCATGTGATCGGGGCCAAACAAAATAATTTCAAGGGCCACAAACAGCTCCCGAGCCACACTTCGGACACCTCTTCTGTAGGACACACTTTTTAGTAGGCTGACGTTTCCGTTGTAAAATATTTTGTAGAGCCATTATGTCTTACATAATAGCATTTTTTACATTATTAATTAAATAACTTTTTCATGATCCTCTAATTCATTGAGATGTGCCAATAAATGTCAAAATGAGCAAATAACTCCTGTAATTTAAATTTCATATTTTCTGACATTTAATGTTAAAGATGAGCTTCTATTTTTGTGATTTTTTTTTCTTTCTTTTTTGTTTTTTCATTTGTCATGCTGCGAGCATTTCTTAGATTTAGTAGCTTGATGCCGTACATGAGCTCGGCCCTGCAGAGCACCTCAGATCTTTTCCTACATCAGAGTCATTTTGACGATACGAAACCCCCCGCCCTCCTGTTTTAGACGCCGTACTGTGGTACCTCTGCGTTCATGTCTGCTCTCCAGCTTGCATCACGGCAGCAGTACCATCAAAGAGGAGAGCAGGGCGACTTTGCTGTCATTTTCTGTCGATATCCACTTCTGAGTGAGCAGGGCGTGGAAGCTACCAGAGAATAACACAAAGACGCCTTCCTCCTCTTGCTCGGCTCAGCGCTTTTCAGGCATGGTTGGAAGGAGACGAGACGATCAGTCAAACAGTACCACATGCGACTGCCACGTTTCCGTTTCCTTATTTCGCTTTCAGAAAACCGTGCGTGTTGTGTAGGAAGGAAAGCAAAATATATTGTATGTAACGACCACTGGCGCCAAAGCAAACCCAAAAGCTACGCAAGGAAAAAGCGGAATCCAGACAGAACGCTTAAAATCCTGTTTCTGTCCGTCTTTAAAGCTAATAATTTTGAAACATGTCCCGTACTCTCCTGTGTGCTCATTCGTCCTCATGGTTTGTGATTTTGAGTCGTCGTTTTGTCTGCATGAGCAGTTTTGTGTTTGTGCGAATGATCTTCAGTGTTTCCGGACTCCATTGTCCCCCTTCCCGCGTTCCTGTTTTGCAGACAGACTGGAAGGTAAAGTCATGATTTGACATTCTTGCGTCGAAACACGCAGCAACAAATGTGCTCTTTTTGGCTCTTAGATTTTATATGATGTAATCCAGCCATCCTCAAAATAAAATAAAAGAAGACAAAGGAAATGCAGCCTTCACATAAAAATGTCAGGTTTTTTTCCCATCACGATATTTTGCACAGGTGTTTGTCATATTTTCTCTTCTAATGGTTTTCGTTATTAGTTGAACCTGGAATCTGTTTGCAGACACATCAGTAAAAAGTAAAACTTTAAATAAATAAAAAATATATTTTTTTTTTTTACTTATAAAATTTTCCCAAAATAAACAATATGATTCAGGGTTTTGAATGCATTCAAACTGGTCAGGGGGTTGCAAAATGATACTTTTTGCAGACTTTTATAGCCATGATTAGGTTAATTAATTCTAATTATATCAATAATTAGAATAATAATGTATATTTTGTGTAAGTGACATAACAGTGACATAACAGACGGCACACTGATGTCTTAAAAAGTTTCATCAGTCACTGAATCCATTAACCGTAGTATGAAAATCAGAAAGAGGAATGTTGTAAAAAAGTAAATATAAAAATGTTGTAGAGTATACCAATAACTGACAGCTGCTGAGATGTTTTTTTTTTTAATGCTCCCCTTTAATACACTTATACAAATTTCCCTGTTAAAAATGGCTATTTTGGGTCGTTTTGCTGATCTGGTTCAGTCTAAAATGAATTGATCCAACTGATGTGGATTTTAAAAAGACATTTTAAGTCATGGAAAATCTGACGATTCTTCTCATTTCTTCCCTTTGCCATTTCATATTATCATACTGTAAATTGGGTCATTTTGTACCAAACTTTTTTCAGGTCCAAAAAGAATCTGTCCGCTGTGCCGATCTTGAATCAGTTCTTACGATAATTTTTTTTTTTGGGGGGCAGAGGGAATTCTTAATACCAACTTTGACACCTGATGATTTATGGCAGTGTTTTATAATCTGCTGGTGGTCTACTCACAGGAAATGTAGTTATGTGAGTCCGTCAGATGATGCCTCCCAGCAAGAAGTCGCTCAGACGTGTTCTGGTTTGATCAGAGTTTCCAGTCTGCCATTTTTAATAAACCTCAACTGGCTAATAATCATTGGAAGCCTGGGTGGTGTCATATGAATTTTTTAGAACATAATGTTCAATTAAATTATACTCATGGCATTATTTATGTCCACATTTAATCTAAATTCAAACTATTTAAAGACATAAACTGATATCCAGTGATGATGTATGTGGGTAGAAAATGGTTTTGTATGGAGAGAGGTGGATGGGAAAACTGAAAAGAATAGAGCTGTAATAAATATGAAAATGTATATTCAAACTACATATTTTGCAGATTTTTCAAAGCTTCACAGGAATCCTTGTTTAAGTACATTTTCATGAATCATAATCCAAAAATGTCTCCAACTACAAAATGCCCTACTTACAGTCTTACATACACATTTCTTGATTCAGATAACTCATTAAAGACTACCCAAGAACTCCTCTTACTTTGAATAACATGTGAAGAGCTGAGACTAATATTTCACTTTGTTCTTTAAATTCTGTCTGCTGCTGTGAAAATATGCCCCAACAAAACTGTCATAGATTAACTTTTCTTTCTTCTGACTGGAAACCAGGACGAAACGCCAACCCTCCCTTCCCCTTTCAATTTCCATTACAAAACAGGCTCTATCTGTTCGACTGCAGGAACACAGTGGTGAATACAATATATTTGATTTGAGATTATAGACACCGGAACCTTTTCTGAGAGGAAATAAGCTTGGAAATGGAGCAGTTGAAACTCAAGCGTAATGTCTCGCAGAACAAGTTGACGTCTGACATCTGGCTTCAAGCGTAGAGCTTCGCGTCGTCGGCGTCTCTGTCCATTGTGGAGCGGCAGACGATTCGGTCTGAAGAGCAAACCAAACCCCAAATTTGTAGAACTCCTTTGGGGGCCGCTCGCCCTTTTACACGGGTCAATCTGCGAGACATTAATCTCAGTCGGTGTTTATGTAATTATCGGACTGCTGTTATCGTCTGTTAGTCAGGAAAGGGTTCCTGTTAGATCCACTTTGCCAAACGCCAACAAAAGGCGACCAAACAGCCAAAAAAAGAAGTGCTCTCAGCAATCATTGCCTCTGTTTCTCCTTCATTCTTTGAAAGCTACGCAGCAGCTGCTTTATTCTGCACAGTTTTAATCTCTTCTGTTCTTGTGATCAGTGTGTGCCGATTACTCAAAGCGATACAGGTGGGGTCTGGCATGCTAGGTTTAGCCATGGATGGTGAAAGTCTTTTATTGCTATACGATGTAGTGCTGCTTGCTATCTGTGACATGTTGGCCAGGACCCTACTCTATCGCTTTGTACAGTATAAAGTAGTTTAAAGAAGTTGAATAACATAAAATAACATATTACAATGTTATTTATGTTATTTCCCACGTGAAGAACTCCTGTAAACCTTGCAGTATTGAAACTCAGTGAACAAGGCATCTTAGACAAGCTGAAAAACAAATGGTGGTACGATAAGGGTGAATGTGGAACCAAGGACTCTGGAAGTAAGGTCAGTCGCTGCAGGTCTTCTTATACTGATGGCAAAAATGCATTTTACCTTCACTGTTCATATGCAGACATGTAGCGCATACATCCTCAGACATGTTGGCATGAAACACAGTCATGGAGACTAGATTACCTTCACACACCGCAGCTTAGGGTATTTACACAACAGGGCATTGATGCTTTACTTTTAACTCCACGCCATTACCTCTCTGTGCAGACACATAAAACTGCAGCATGATTACACACAGTTTGTATTCACCCCATTAAACTCTTAAAAAGTTTAACGACAAGAACTGAAACCATTATACTGCTGTTTCTCATCCAAACTGCTATTGAAATTTAGTTTGCTGTTGGTCTTATTCATTTGTATGTGGAGTTGTTGTTAAACCCTTTGACAAAAAAAGGAAGAAAAAAAAAACTTGGGCTGCTGTGCAGAATGTTCCAAAACTGAACTAAAACCAGAAATTCATTATAATTACAAGTAATTAACATAGCAACATGTTTTATGAAAAGAAGGACAAGTAATGTTTAGTGGTATTTTCAATATGGAGGATGGCGGTGGTTGCCCAGGGTGGCATCAAAGATGGGGCACAGATTTTTGGATATGCTTATTCCTACAGATGTGGATCTATCAAAAAAAAAAATCCTTCCTCTAAGCAGTGAGATTTTTTTTTTATAACTGGGGTATTTTATGTGTGAAAAGATCACAACTGAAACACTCCACGAAACAAGAACGTGGGTTCATATCACTCCAGCTCAGGCAGGTAAAACGTTAGGTGAGAGAATCTAGCTTTAACCGTTTTTTCAAAGGTACAGTTGCGAGGTCAAACACTGATGTTGGACAAAAAGGCCTGGCCCAAGATCCTGACACTGTTGGGTTAGTGTCAGGACTCAAATCAAGTTCTTTCATAAAATCCTCACTCATTTATGTCTTTATGGACCTTGCCTAGTTGACTGAAACTTCAACATATTTGAGAGATTTTCTTAGAATTTCTGCCAATTTTCTCTTTAAAGTTGTATTTGTCCTCAGTTAGAAAGACTTAACATGGCACAAATTACATAAAATTAACAGAAAGACCTTCTGCTTAAACTTTCCAGTTGAGTGTTTTCTTGTCGTTGAAACCCCGGGTGTAGTTGCTTTGGAAGAGGCAGAGACCATCTCCAAACTGTTCCCCCCTAAGCTAGCCTAAAACTCTCCAGAATGTCTTGGTGTGGTAAAGCATTAGGAGCCCCTTTTCGTTGGAAACTTTCTCCACTGCTCTAGTAAATGGACATTTACACAGCATCCAAAAAAACCTAAGTTGTCTTCCACCCAATGGCACGACTCTTTGCTTTGCACTTGGATGTAGACCAAGTTTGGATGCAGCTGTTGGTCCATGAAGTTCTTTACACTAGCAGTCGACTTCTGACTGTCAAGAAGTGAGGAAATTCACCAAAGCCCTAACTGCACATCCAATTAGACTACCATGATGGGATTTACTGAACTTCAGAGAACAATCCATCTGTTCCCAAATGCTTGTAGAATTAGTCTGCATATCTAGATGTTTGATTTTATCAACCTGGGAGGGACTGAAAGACCTGATTTCAGTGATTTGGATCGGTCCTTTCCCAATGACACAACTGTCACCAAAAATAGTTCTGCAATGCAACCTCATGTGTATTTGCACACTAATGCTTCACTGAGCTGCCTCTGGTATTTATGAATAAATCAGGAAGAAAGGCAGCAACTTTGTTACTCTGATAAAACGCAGTTTGTGAAATGAAGGACCATTTTTTTAGCCTGTCTCTTCTTTTTGATATGTTGCTGAAAATTTCTTCAAGCTATTTTCAACAATCATTATGTTATTGAAAAAGCAAAAATAAGTTAAATTCATTCTTTTTCTGCATTTTGTGCAGCTGCCCTTGTTTGAACACAGAAAAAGCCATTGTTGCCCTGACAAAACCAAAGTGACCCCTTAAATAGCAAGTAAGTGGCCAGGGGGGTATTTAATGGTCATGATGGATTGTCAGAGTAACAAACTTTTTTTTTAATGCATTTTCAATTATAAAATAACTAGTTTGTATACAAAAGTAATCTGACTTTTACCACATAAAAGCAGATTTAACTGGTTTTGGAACCGTTCCATTGGGTTTCAATGCAAATGGTGACACTTGCAGAAATGAATTTCAATCTTACCGTTTGGCTTTTAAAAGCAGCAAAATGGTTCAGTTCCCCTTTCTTACAGCTTGCTACTCTGACTGTACAGATGCAGTGTTGTCAAGGTTGAGTTCAGCAGCTATGGTAGTGAACTGAAGCTAATCTGTAGACCTGTACGACCACGACCGCCTTCCTCTATGCGTGGCCTCGTAAAGAGACCGCAAAGCAGGATAGTCGACAAGTCTCTCTACATTCACCTTGTCAGGGATTTTTTTTTTCCTTTTTTATTTTGATTAAGAGGAGGAGGTCTGTAGATGTACTGTTTTTAGTCAGATTAGGCTTCAGGATGTCTATACACACATTTAGCGACCTCCTCAGAGTAGCTGCTAGTGACAGAGTAGCAGTGTTCATGTTGGTTTTGTGCCTCTCAGTGTCCGTTTAAAACCCCTTAATGGTGGTCTGTACCTCCCCCAGGACAAGACAAGTGCATTGAGCCTGAGCAACGTGGCAGGCGTCTTCTATATTCTGGTCGGGGGGCTCGGCTTGGCTATGACCGTTGCTTTGATAGAGTTCTGCTATAAGTCACGGCAGGAAACAAAAAAACTCAAGCTGGCGAAGAACGCCCAAAACTTTAAGCCAGCCCCCCCAGCAAACGCCCAGAATTTTGCCACATACCGTGAAGGCTACAACGTCTACGGGACGGAGAGCGTGAAAATCTAAAGGGTAGGTCACCCGTCGTTTCTCACATTCACCAGCAGAGTAACCAGCAGGTGGGTCTCTGTGCGATTGATCAGTTGTGGAACCTGCAACTCTGGAGAGTTTCAAACTTTTAACAGGATCTAACAGATTTGGGTTTTCTTCCAAGGAGAGTCCCGCATCAAGGTTTCATTTAGAAGCGGATGAAAAACGCGCTCACAGCATGATGGTGTGTTCCTCTGCTGTATTTCACTACGGGGAATGGTGATGTTAAGAGCTTCAGAGTTTGCATTAAATTTATCATTTTTATATTTACACACTTTTCCAGGCTTTACACAGTTTTCCTAATATTTAAGAAGAAAACATTTATCTAGCAGGCATTGCCACAAACTTATATTAGCTCCTTTTTGCTAGAAAAATCTGAACATTAAACAGATTCCTTTGTTCTCAGTGTCTGTGGGTCCTTACGCTTATTTGTAAAATAGAATATAACAGAATTATCTTTGTTTGTTCTGTACTTCTTGTCCTCAAGTGTCTAAAGGTGCCCAGAAATAAAACGAATCATAATTATTTAAATGGAAACACATTGATAACAGTAAAAACTAAATAGATTGTACAATTAACTGAAAGACACAACGAAAGAAAAACTGCACAGTTGTGCAGATGATGACAGAAATAGAACAAAGTACCACAACTGTACACATTGTTCATTTTGAATATTTGTCCAAAAATAGACTATTCATGGAAATATGGGAACCGGTGCAGGAGTGTAAACAGCTCATTGTGTTTGTTAGGAGTAGTGGTGGTTGTGCAGTCGAACAGAGAATCTCTACATCAGCTCTGCAATGATGTTTCTCCGTCATCTACATTGTGAGAAGGTCTAATGTCATTTAATGAAATGTGGGCATTTGTTCTTCTTCTCTGGCTTCTAAACAGCTCCGGTTTAAAATCCTGGTATAAAACAATATATAGGTCAGAACTGACCTGTTTTGTCTGCTAGTAATACAGATTGGTAACTTTTAATTAGAAGATTTCAACCTTTTCCATTGTAATACTAATGTACAACAGCCGACACTCACCGCTTTTAGGTTATTTTCCTCTCAACTGAATCGAAACGATCATCCCTCCAAATTGTAGCAGCTGGGAATCTGAGGTGCTCAAATGACCTGCGTGGTTTTTCTGTTTCGCAGGTGATTCTTAAGCCCCACTGGTGCATAAAGGATAGAAAGAGCCACTCCGACACGTGACCCATGACCCCGACAACCCTCCACCCCTCGAAGGTGGGCAATCCTGGAAGCGACGCCTTCCTCGTCATCAGCTTGGACTCAAGCCAACAAGTCAACAAGTGCTCATTTGGGGTTATGAACCGTCACACTGACAGAGGGCAATCACACGCATCTGGACTTCTGTTTGTGGGAACATGGGAATTGCCTCTTTTTGTGCCTTAAGGAGCATTTTGGCGTCATGGCAATGCAGATAAAATTAAATTAACTTGATAAACACAGAACAAAAAAAAATGTAAAAAAAATGGCGGCGATTGGATAAGAAACGGCTTCATGTAGATGGACTGATGTAATTACTGTTTTATATTTTGAAGACGACAAAAAAAAAAAAAAAAAAAGCCATGGTTTGCAATGAAATCCCTGAGGTACTTAAGTAATTTAAATCCTTTAAAGAGATATTTTTGTGGTGAAACCTTAAGTTGGATAAATGTTATGTTTAGTGAGGTAAAGTCCTTCTCTTGTGTTATAAGGATATTTCCAGTGTCGGAACATTTAGGACAAGCATCAGTAACAATAATAAGGCTAAGGATCAGTTGAACTGGCAGCATTTTCTACCAGTTTTTGTTTTTACTCCAACTTCAACACGTCATGCTTGTGTACATCTGAAACAGCTGGGATGATGTTTGTTTCATAGCCTGCTGGACATCCAACCTACTCTGTATTTACTTGGATGCTTGTTTTAAATCAAGTATGTCATTTGTTTAAAACTGCCACTTTTTTTGGGGGGGGGTAGGGGGTGAAGACATTTCTACCAAAGAGGTTGGCTTGTTTTCAACTTGGCGCCGCGTTACTGAGATCGAGACAATTCCCAACTCTTTAGACGAAAAGGGGGGGAAAAAAAAAGACCCCGTTTTACGTAACAAAGCATTGAAGTCGATTTTAAAAGAGCTCATGGTTTACACTTTGTACACACGCCAGCACTGCTCTCGTATAGGTGCGGTTTCATCAGTTTTGGTAAACGGCGCTGTGCCGTAGCTTCTTTTGGTCGCGATGAGCTTCCTGTGCATTTCGCAGAGGCCGCGCGACGAATCCAACATTTGTACGACTAAAACTCTGCAGTCCGCAGGGAGAGGCTGACATTACAAACCATTTGCGCCTACACTTGTTTGATAACTCTTTCTCATCCTTTTCATAAAGTGCATGTGAATTTGGTGGTAGTTTAATCAAATAGCAACTCCAAACGGACCCGGTTTAGTCGGCTCTAAAATGACTTATTCCAGTTTGAGTTTAGGGAGGGGGGGTATTTTTGGGTTAATTTATTGATACCTCAACCGTGAGAGTTGCATGTATGGACACAAGCCTCTGTGTAGAGGTCCTGTACAAAGGATTTTATTACATTTCCTTAATAAAAGAAGATTTATATTCAGCTTTGGGATTTTTCTTCTACTGCTTTTCTAAAACTACAAATCTTGACGTGTTTTAAAAGGTGAATATTATTGAGGTCGAGGAATTGCTCTAGACACAAGAGGAACTTTAAGGAAGCAGAGTGAGAGCACATCATCCTGCAACGTGAACTCGTCTGCTGGGACTGCTTCTTAAATTTGGGCTTTTGATGGTTTATTAGATTTTGGTGCTGTACTTGTGGATTTTCTTTCCCTGTTTGCACAAAGTTTAAAAGCTTTCATCAAGCATAAAAATACAGCCAAACGAATGACTGGTTGAATGTTTCTAATCAAACTGCACCCCAAACATACGTTTCTTACAGACATCACCAAGGTTCCTGCTTTATTTTTGGCTCATTTAAAGTGTTTTAATTATCTGGCATCGACCCGACGGTGTGTTTAGTTCACACTCTAACCGTTTTAAACGACTCAACGAGTTTAAGATGCACGTTTGACATCAAACATCCACTTATGTTCAAACTTCATCCGTCCCAAATTGTTGCCCTCAGGTGAAGCAGCCTGGGCTCGTGTTTCTCATGAAGTGGAAACTGCAGCAACACCAGTGTGACTACAGAGCGAATCCAGCCGTGGATCAATGCGGACCGAGGCAGAATCGCCCTGGTTGAGCCACAATAAGAAATTATGTTGGACAAATAAAAGTGAAGCTTTTGAAATGGGATCACTGTCAAACATGGTGGTGGCAGCATCACGACGCAACAATGGACCATTTCCAGATGGTTAAATCTTGAATACACTTATAGTTTCATATTGATAAAGATCCAAACAGATCTGCAGCAAACTGGGTTTTATGAAGCTTTCAGAGCGTCTCCAACTCACAGCTTGTTAAAAGGAGAAAAAAACAAAAAAAAAAAACAAACTGAACTATTTATGTTTAAAAGCCAGTTCAACAGCAGGAAACAAACCAGTTATAAAGAACTTACTGAAGCTTGTTGAAAACTGCAAAATGTGTGGGGCACTGATCCGAGTCGCTATTAAACCGATATTAGTGGTAGCGAATGTACAGTGTATAGAAAATGTTTTGGATTTATTTCAGATTAGAAATAACTTAAGGCAAGACAAGTAACCAATAGAAACCCCATAAAAAGTTAAACTATGGTAAAAGGAAAACACGTAAACTAAACTGAAACGTCAAGAACCATTTAGTCTCATTTGTAAAGTTCAATCATATATTGTTTTTAAGCAAAGCAAGGTTTAATTTCACTGCTCTAAAAGTCACACTCGGACCCGATTACTGTTGGGCTTCCACAATTAGTCAAACGTAAACAATGCTGAACGTTCATACCGATTATCAAACTTCTCTAATCCACAGCTTACATTCTTAAAGAGAGAGAAAAAAGGACAGACACAGTGTTAAAGTGACACTAAGAAAACTATTATTTATTGAGTTTATTTTTTTTTTCTTAAAAAACAAAACATACACTCATTGAGTACAGCAGATAAAATCTCCAAATGTCATTTTTGAAACGGTTGCATTTGGAGTACAGAGCGTCAGAATTTTTCTTTACAATTCTACATCTGAATCAAAGTTGAACCGACATTTTTCTGTTGTTTTTTTTTTCTTTTTTCTGTTTTGTTTGTTTTTTTTATAAATTATGTAAAAACCTGATTAACACAAATTCACAGAAGAACTTGCATGGGACATGGAAAAAAATAAAATAAAAACAAAAAGAATGAAATAACATGATGCGAATTTCATGTTATGTTTTTTTTTTTTTTTTATTATTGTACACAATATACAAACTGGTCCTAGGTATTATTTCCTCACTTATGCTTTGCTGTCCTACTTAGATTAAAAGGTGAAGATAAATAAATAAAAGGATCTAAGTAGCTCAAAAAAGGATATGAGGTAAGTGAGTATGGAAACGCAGGTTATATCCAATAAAACAAGCAAAAAAAAACCAACAAAAAACGCAAGGCCCGACATCGTACAAAAACAAAAATAAAAAACTGTTTTCAAACATGAGATTATTGAATCCATGACCATTTGCTACCAAAAGATCATTTCATACAGTAACCACATTTCTGGTAGGATAACACTGTGATTACGCACCTTGTGCCCAAACTATTTTATGTATATTTATATATATATAGATATATCTATATATATATAGATATAGATATATTATTATAAAAATAAGACAAAATTTATTCAGCTGGTTTATCGTCTGAAACAGGAAGAATAATTGGATAATGCGTGAATTAACCACAGCTAACAACAGGCATGGGGGGGGAAGAAAAAAAAGTAAAGAAAAATACAATCGTAAATAAGAATGAAAGTCAATAAGTGGTACAGGTGGAGTTGTGGATGTCTTGCAGATAAAAGTACAGCTTATCCATTTCTGCTGCAGCACAGAGAGGGGAGGAAACAAAGAGCATCAGGCGACTGCAAGACGGCTGATTGAGAAAGAAGCTGAACGGCTCTTACCTTCACTGATTAGTGCACATTATCTGTGCTTGTCAGACGACTTATGAGTGTGATCGTTAAGGGAAACTGAATCACTTAATGCAAAATTTAAAAAACGAGGGACTGTCGATTGATTGTCTAAAATGTGCTCCGTCAATATCCAGAGGAAAAAAGCTCAGGCGGGAACCAGAACTGCTTCCTTTGGCATCGTTGAACTTTTTTTTTTTTAAATTAGTATCTCCTAAAAGTTCATTTAAAAACAGTCAAAAACACCGATTTGTGTAAAGAGTGTGGGCAAATTATCAATACACAGAGCAAAACGTTTCACCCATCAGGGATCGGGTTCGAGTCGCAGAGAACACGGTCGGTTTAAACCCCAGCATAACCACACAGGTTGGAAAAATGACCTCAGCTAGACGCTTGAAGCTGTTAAAAGTTCTGCAACACTCGTTGGGCCTGAGCAACACGGCCAAAGTAAAAACACGATAAATGATATCAGGATGGAAGCAAAAAGAGAAACCAAGTTAACGCGAGACGGATCCATAAACGCACGGCACGCAGAGCAACGGAGGAAACTATAGCTGCTTAGATCAGGGGGCCGAAGTAAAGAGACGGTGTGTGTCAAAAATGTACAACTTGCAAAAAAAAAAAAAAAAAAAGATTACCGGTAAGATTTTCAAGTCACTGTTCACTCAAGGATATTGCTTTTTCTCCTCCTTCCCTCCAGCGCTGTCCCTCTTCTCCTTCTTCTCAGACTTGTCATGTCTGGACTCCTGCAGGACAAATTAAAGGTTCGCTTTACGAATAACAAATAAGAAACCAAAGTATTTTTCTTTCACTTCACAAACGTGAAAATCTGCACATACGACCTTTTTTTTTTTTTTTTTATGCAAACAAAAATAAAACATGGGTTTTCATCTTAACAGGCTAGCCAAACGCAGGTAAGTAATGAGCGTCACCGTAGTAACGAACGCCGGGCTGACCTTCTTGCCTCCGGAAGACGTTCGTTCGGCTTTCGCGGACTCGGCCTTCTCCTTGCTCGAGGACTTGGATCTCTTGGTCTTCTCCTTCTCCGGCGTCAGAGGAGAGTCGCAGGAAGGACTCGTGCTCTGGCTGTTTTTGGAGGAATCTGGGGAGAGAACGATCCCGCCGTCACGTTTCGCGTCCCACCGCGGCCGACTCGAGACGGACAGAAAGCGCTTACTGGTGCCGTTCTCGTCCTTCCTCCGCTTGGACTCTTGGCTGGCCTCGCGGTCGTTGACGGCGTGATCCTAAAAGAGAAGCGGCGACGTTAGGCGTTCGCTGAACGGATCGCTGCGCTTAAAAATGCTCAAATGTTCTGCCGCTGGTGGCAGTTCAATGCGTCTCTGAGCTGAACAACCGCCTTCCCCGTCCGGTCTCTAACTGGTCAGTAGTTTTAAGCGTAAAGCGCTCACTCGTTTTCTCTCTTTCCGTTCCTTTTCCTCCTTCTTCTCTTTGGATCGGCCTTGTACGCTCTCTGTGTCTTTCTTCTCCACTTCCCTCTCTCTGCTCTTGGACCGGGCAACTGAATTAAAGTTGATGTGCTGCTGGAAACAATCCCACATGAACAGAACAGAAACAAGTTGAAGCCCGACTCTGCTGCCCGAAGCCTCAATAATGACTTGCATCACTCTAAGACGACATCGACGGCGTCGGTTTCCGTTTCGTGTCCAGGCAGCGTATTCAGACACCTTCTTTTTTTTTTTTTTAAATAAATAAGATTTTAATACAGCTAAGCTATTAAACATAGTCAGGCTGTAAGAAATCCTTACAAATTATTAATATAAACTCAGTTTTGCCAGTGTGACTCATCGCTGCGCTCGTCTTCCTCCCCGTGTTTGTATTGATGTTTAAACATTGCTGCTCACCTTCAAAAGCCCAAATGGCCTCTTGCCTAAATCCCTCATCTCTCGTTAGATGCTCTGGGCTTTTAGGACGGTTCTGGAGGATGAACCCAATCACATTAGGGATCTTCAATAAAACTTGTCTTTGATTTTCACCCTCCTCTAACACACACTCTGACCAAAGCCTGCAGCTTTAATGACCCGTCGCTGTGGTCTTAGAGAGTCTGCAGTTTAATGCGATGCGTCTTCTGTCCTACTCCAGAGGGAAACAGGGAAAATAACACTCTGATGTCAGACGGTGGATTCACCCCCCTAATCCCCCAAAAAACACCAAAAACGTAACGATAACAAAAGAGCTTTGTGCCACTAAAGCCACACGAGCAGCAAACATCGATTCGCTCATCAACCTTAATTCAGACCGATTAAAAAAAATTTTTTTTTTGGCCTAACAAAATCCAAGTTGATGTAGATTTGATACTTTAAGATGAAGCAAAGGCGCCATTCTCTCATTTTCTCCCTAAACATCTTGTCTTCTAATTCCAAGACGCCTCGCTCTTAAAGTCATCAGTACTCAACCCGATGCGACAGTTACTCTGCCGTCAAGGGAACGACACAAAACGGCCAATTAGAAAAGAAGGCATACAGTTGTGAGGTCAGACGGCGTGCAAAGTAAAGGAAGGGATTTTCAGGAACACGATCAGGGATTAGCAAAACGGATCGACTCGGCTGCTGCGGTTCTTCCGTTTCCCAAACATTCAACGTCGAAAAATATCACAACCGCGCCAGGAAGGGAGTCATGAAAGAAATAAAATGCCATCTTCCATCCGAGCACATCGAGTTCTGCAGATGTAAACGAGGAAGAAAATCTAAGCAAACGAAACGTATCCAAAGCCTGATGGACTGATCATCCAGTCGCAATCATGACGCCACTAAGACTGGATGTTTTTTTTATGTCGCAATCAAAGACGGGATAAGGAACAGGTAGACATGAGAGTTTTACCGTTTTCTCCACCGTTTGCTCAATGGGAATATCGAATATTAAATTTTAAAATATGATTAAATTCAGTCTGGTGATGCAAATCTGCCTTCTTTACGTTACTGGTGTCCTAAAGAAGAACATTGCAAATGGGATTGTTTTTCCAAGAGCAGTTTTTATGACTGCGTTGCTGTGCAGTGATCGCCATAAAAGAGGTAATAATTAATTCTCATCACTTTTAGCTTGAGAAAACTTAAAGTCCATATCGGCCACCTGGACTTCCTGCTCTGACTGACCTTGCATTTGATCCATTTTGCACCAAAATTTAAATTAGAAACATATCAAAAAGTAAAAACTAAATAAAAAAGAAAGCAGCTATTACACCTGTCCTCTACAGAACTGGACCATCCAAAATGATGCACTTCTGAATTTAGAAGAATGTAAAGCAAACACCAGAAGATCTGTGTTTGTATTGCAAAGAAAAAAACAATAAGAAAAATGTCAAAAATACCAGCAACATTTTTTTTTTAATCCTCTAAATTATCAAACTTTATAAGTAAGAACCCACACATATGGACCCCCGACTCATTTTTGAATGCCATATCAACTACTTCAGCACATTTCCAAACTTCGCCTCACTCTCTCCCTCTCAGATGGTGAAAAGTCTGTCCAAGTCTTTGTCTCCTGCAGACCAGAGAACTGCAACACACTTCACTTCTCACGAGCCTCCAGAGGCTCCGGCACGCCCCAAACTCTGCAGCTACCATCCTGATGAGAGCGGGCGAGCATTCCCACCGTCCTCCTCACACCGGTGTGTGTGTGTGTGTGTGTGTGTGTGTGTGTGTGTGTGTGTGTGAGAGGACTCCTTAAGCCACAAAAGAACACTCCGTCTGCATCCATGCAGTCAAGGAGGAGTTAATCTCCACCCAAAACAACAAAAAAAAACTCCTTAGAAATTTGTTTTCACATAACTACAAAATAAAATAAATGGATACTGACGCCGAAAAAAAAAGCACATTTGCAAGAAATAAAAAGAGAAACTTTTCCATGATAAATGAATACATTTTACTAAGACATTCTGTGACAGTGTAAAGTCAGAAATTTGAAGGGGAAAAAACAATAAACATTTTTGTTTTCCTGCATCAGAACATCTTCCGGGTTCGGATCCAAAGCGGCCGTGTTCCCAGCCGTTTTTTTCCAGATCCTTTTCCAAGGCATTCACGGAGAAACCGTTCTAATGCTCCACTCTGGAAAACATCCACCTCTCCTAAATCCACCCACTTCAACTTAGAGAGGACTTGAATTTATTTATTGCAACCGTCGGACTTTATAACCTCTGTAAACTTGAGGAGGGTTTTTATTGCACATTTCTGACTTTACGATTTCAGAGAATGTTAGTTTTAATACTGCAAATGTATGCACTTCATCGTGGGAAATTATTACCCTTCATTCTTGCAAATTTATCAGAGATAATATCAGGGTTTTTTTTTTTTTTTTTAAATGAAATTCATGCTCTACTCCTCTGTGGCAACAGTGTTTTGTTTTTTTTCCCCTTTCATCCCTACAGCAGCCCGAGCAGATTTAGCCCTAAGGGAAACAATTTACTATTACTACTACAAAAATATCACCAAGAAACCAAAAGTCTAATTAGAACAGCAATCGCCACATCTATTGGAGTCTGGAAATCTACAATTAAAGACGGAAAAATGATTTAATTGAATGGGACCTGAGATAAGGAAAAGCTTTTTGCTGCACCAAAAAAAAAAAACTATCCAGAACAAAATCTTTTTCTTTTTTAACAATGTCGCTTGGGTGAAGGAACTGAAGACAGGGAATATTGATTTAAATATGTGATTTAAACTCATTGGTTCATCAAAAAACAAACGAATAAAAAAAAAAAAAAAACCATCAATAGAAGCAAGTAAATCCAAAGAGCAGAGCTGTCAGCAGGAGGCAGACGGCTTAAACGGACGAGTACCAGATTTAACTAAT